AAGCTGGGGGCAGAGCAACTCTGCCTCTGGCTTCCTGTAGTCAGCCCCTGGTCAGTTTCAGTGACAGCAGCTGAATCTGGAGCCAGTTCCGACTTACACACAAATTCAACTTAAGAACAAACCTACAGTCCCTATCTTGTACGTAACCCAGGGACTGCCTGTATATTTACTAAGGCAGGTGCTCTGAGTGTAGGTTGAATGGCTATATATATTTTTATAAATTTAAGGAGATAATTACATTAAATTCCTCCCCCAAAAAAACTAACAACAATTCTAAATTGTCCCCGTCTTTTACTGAATGTCTTCCTCGTGATGTAAACTTTCTTCCTAGAACTTTGTAGTTTTAATGCAACATTCCTTATTTTTTCCAAGAGTATCCAAAATTAAGATTTATTTTATTTTTACTTAAGTACATTATATGGGGCTACGATTCTGCCATGGATATTTTTAGTAAAAATCACAGAAAGATCATGGGCAATAAAGAAAAAACTCATGGAAGCCTGTGACCTGTTCCTGACTTTTACTAAAAATATCTGACAAAACGGGGGAGCTGCTGAGTAACTGGGGGCCCAGCTTGGTACCCTGGGTCCCCATACCACTAGTGGGGGTTTGGAGCTCCAGGGTGCCCCACTGCCCAACTCTGGGAACTGCAGGGTCTGGCTGCTTATGGTGGCTAGGACCCCGTGCCATCTGTGCCGGCAGAGAGCAGCAGGATACCCTCTCACCATCAGGAGCAGTTGGGGTACCCCTCCCTGCTGGCAAGCGGCAGAGGAATCTGGCTACTCCCTGCTTCGGTAGACTGATGTCATAGAGTTCTTCGGAAGTCATGGATTCCATGATTTCCACAACCTCCATGACAAAGTTGTAGCCTTAATTATATACAGAGACAAATTTTAAGGCACGTTGATCAGACTACATGTTTTTAGATTTAAGACTGCATGCATAAAAATGAAATTAACTAAAGTAAACAAGATTTCAATAAGGCAAAAACTTTATAGATGGTACCATTTATACTGGGCAAAGAAACACGATAAGCATTGGATGTTAGTGGAGCATCTGGGCACTAAAAATGATAGATACTAGGTTAGTTGTGTTTTGCTCATTAAAACTTCACAGATATTGATAAACCATCCAACCATTATCTTGCCACATTGCTAAAAAGGGATTTGGTGCTTTTCAGATGCCTAATGATTCAGCATGCTCCGTTTCTGAAATAACATATTAATGTGTAGGTGAGACCTAAACTGTGGGGCCCACCCAGGGCTGTTTGTTGACTTCGGTGGGAGTAGGATTGGGCTCTGGTGGTTATTACAATACTGAGATTCATCAGGCTAGCATGAAACAACTTCTGTAATACTGTTCTGGTTACCCAGAATTCAACCACACAGGTCCCTTAAAGAAGCCCAGTCTTTGGCATCGATCTAGACACCCAAGCCAAGTAAAGTTCTACCAATCCTAAAGGATCAGACATATGACCCAGGTCGATGAATATTTGAGATCTCACCCCGAAAAACATGCATACATCCAATTTTATTAATCAATCTAATATTTATTTAAAAAGAAATGAGAGTATTGGTTGCAAGAGATCAGAATGCATAGAGACACTTACACAGTTCTGAGTTCTGATTCATAGGAGAGATGTCGAGTTTTGTACAGTAGTTGCAAGGCGTTTTTACAGAATGAGTCCATAGGTTATAGTCAGGGCCAGATTAAGAAAGGGGTATTCTACCGCCCTCCTAGCCCATGCAGCCCAGCCCCTTCCCAAACCCTAAAACCTTCTCCAACCTTACTCCCCAACCTGAGCTCCCTCTTACACCCAAACTCCTGCCCAGACACCACATCCCCACCCCAGTCTCCTGCTGTGAGTCTCCACCCATCCTCCCGATCCCTTGACCACAGCATAGAGCCCCTTGTACTCCAAATGCCTCACCTCTAGCCTCATTCCAGAGTCCACACCCACTCCCGCACCTTCTTGCCTCTGTGACGGCGCGTTGGGGGTCCCCCGTCTTCTGCACCCCGAAATGGCACAAACAGACCCCCCCAGCCAGTGGAATTGAGGATGGTTTATTGCTTCTCCACGATACAGCATAGCACAGATGTAATCTGCTTACAGGAACTGGGGCTAAGAGGCCTCAGTGCCCCGTTGAGATGGGGTGATCCCAGCCCCCTCCCCAGTTCCTTCTTCCCTGCTTTCCAGCCAGGAACTAACTCCACCTCTCCAAGCCCTGCCCCAGCCAGGGCAGCATTCCACCTCCCTTTGTTTCTCCCCATGGGGGGTTGGTTCAACCAGTATGGAGTCACCTTTGCATAATAAGGTTTTCCCTGCTGGGTCTTGCTCCAGACAGAAGAGGTCACCACAGCCCAGCAAGTACCCCCACTACGTCACAGCCTCTATCCACAACCTTCTCCTGCACAGAGCCCCTCATTTTTGGCCCCATCCTAGAGTTTAGGAGGCCCCACAAAATTTAGTAGCTCTGGGCTCACAGAAGAGTTAAACCAGCTCTGGTTATAGTCCAGTGTCCAAGTACAAACAGATGAACATCATACCTAATGGACTGAAGGTGAAGAACCCACTCCAATCTACATACCCTACAGTCTACAGCCAGAGATTATGCCACACTCTCTCAGAGAAACTGAGGAACCAGTTAATCAGCTTACTGTGCAACAAACAAAAGAAAATCAAGGAGGAGCTCTCAACATTAGAGACACTCATAAAAAAACTAAGCTTCCACATATACTTCCTCTTGGCTGGACTTTACAGCAAGCCACCTACAATGCTCACTTCACCTCCCTTCAGAGGAAAAAGGACAATAAACTATCCAAACTCCTACACGCCTCTGGATATTTCAAGTATGGGTGGGCCCTACTTCATGCCTTCTGAAGGGGCGGGGTCTTGGGTGGAAGGGGCAAGGCCTATGGCAGTCAGTCCTTAGCACTACACAAAGCATGGTGCTGGGCCCCCCTCCAGCCCTCAAAGCCACATAGAGTGCCTGGCAGGACACTGTGGTGCTCTGGGGGCAATTCAAAGGGGCAGTGGTAGTGGCCAGGAGCTCCGGGTCATTTTGAAATGCCAGTCCCTGGAGCAGTTACCCCCTTAACCTGCCCAGGGTGGACCTGGTCAGTATAATGCCAGCATCAGGCTTCATCTAACTTGTATGTCTTGGATTTGTACTGGAAATGCTACTGAAAGGCCAAAATCCCAATAATATGTATGTAAGATCTTGACCACAGTTTCTGTTAAAAATCGTTCACATATGCCCAAACTGGATGGGCCTGGTCTGAACCTGAGGTCTAGCTAACAATGAACAAAACATGGCTAAAAGTGTAACAGAGATAAGCAAAGACAGGCCTTGTTTGTACAACTAGATATGAAACAAGTTGAGACAGCATAACCGCAGGTGCAGGGCTGTAGTTGGGGCCTTACTGTGAACTATAGACACATAACTCTTTGAGAGTGGCCTCAAAAGTCTTCCTTACAAGTTCAGGAGGAGATAGCAGTGTATCCTCCCCAAATACCAGCCAGCATTCAGGGAGGGGAGACAGGCAACATGCCAACTTGAGTAAAAATATCTGTCCCTCACAGATGCCAGTCCAGTCGAAAGGGGTGTGATCGATAAACAAATTGCCAGTGCTGTGTATTGTTTACTTTTCTCTTTGTTTTAAGACCACAAAGGGATGTATCTGCAAGCAAACCTATTTAAGAGATGCCACTCATCATTTTTATAAACCTGAAATCAGGATTTAATCTGCTTGCTGCAAAATGACACACAAGTCAGAACACCTGTTTATTAGCATACATGTAAACCTTAGTCTGTCGGCTTATTGAGCTAATTTTGTCTTGCTGCTAGAACCTGTCCAGGGGATCGGGAACTCCCACCCCATCACTTCTCTCTGCCCATTGGCACCCTATATAATCTATAGTAAGCCATTGTTTGGCAGCCTCACTGAGCCTGACAAACTAAGTGACACTCCGCCAGGGCTGTGTGTAATAAACCCTCATGCTTGGATCTACGTGGTGTCGAACTTCTATTCCTTCATCTGCCAGCTCCTTTCCTCAAGCATCAGTAATGGGCACTGTTTGCATCAGGCCCTAGCCAAAAAATCCGTGAGAGAAGGTTTTCATATGTTACAGAGTGTCACTTCTGATCTGGGGGTTGGGGATCATCAGTGCTTTAAATCACAAGCATCCTTTCAGGAAGTGGCTGCTGGTGGCACAGATCAGCAATGACCCATCTTTGTGAATGTGCATCCTCACTAACATGGCCTGGTGTGTCAGTGGGACATGGCTGCATGCATACCCAGTAACACTGTCGGCATCTGATCTGACCTTCCCCTCTGTAACTTGGTCTTGACTCTGTAACTGTCCCGTTTGCTACAGATCTGCTTCCTTTTTTTGTTAGACAGGAGAAAGCTTCATGCTGCACCAGTAGTGCGAACGTTCCGACTGCGCCCTTTCTACTTTCTGGTGGCTACAGGCGGGGGATATGTGGGATACACACAATATGAGAAGTACAGGGTGGAGCAGCTGGAGAAAATGGGCATTGAGGCACCAATCAAGATTGCAAGTGAATGGGAGGTAAGATCTTTGTGATGGGCTTGTACCACACTCCACGTTTCGCTACACTTTTCCGCTCCCTTTCAACAAGGAAGAAATCGGATTGTGTTCTGTTGCCAGAATTGACAGAATACATAAAGGGCTTTTCCTTATCTCTCACTCCTGCCTGTAAACCCGATGTAATGACATGTTATAAACTGCAGGTGTCTCTTAACTACAGTCAACATATTTCCTGCACCAGTGGCTGTAAAGGATGCAGTTTGTCAGTTTCTTTTTTAAATTGTGCATTAGGGATAAAATTAAGAGATGATTGATGGGCATAGAAGAGCATAAGGTGTGGGGTTTGCAGTAATTCTGGAGGAACTTCCATTCTTCAATTTTTGTACTAAGTAGAAGAGATGTTCTCATGCTTCAGCCTTTGAACAATCAATCTTACAATGATCATAAGTTGGTAGCATATCTGAAGATTTAATGTGCTTTCAAAATTTCCTAACTCTTGTGTATCGAATTGGAATCCAGCATAAAAGCTGCCCAAAGCCATCCCTGGCTATTTTTGTATTAAAGCAGGAAATAGTCAGTTACATATCTTGTAGTAGGAACAAAAAACAGGACTATGTAGCACTTTAAAGACTAACAAGATGGTTTATTAGGTGATGAGCTTTCGTGGGCCAAAGTGGGTCTGGCCCACGAAAGCTCATCACCTAATAAGCCATCTTGTTAGTCTTTAAAGTGCTACATAGTCCTGTTTTTTGTTCCAGCTACACCAGACTAACACGGCTACATTTCTATCACTATTCTATATGTTGTAGTAGTAGCATTCTGTGGTTGCATATATGAGCATTGAAAAACATACTGTGATGAGTTTGCTATCCTGTGCCACTTTGTTTACTTGTTAATGGCTTTTCCAAAACGGGCCCTTGGCCCACTGTGAGGAATACTACTCTAACTCCTAAACCTAGGTATGGTTGTATTCTCAGTTCTGCCACTGACTTGAAGTATGATCTTTGTCAAGTTACATCATCTCTCTGTTCATTTCTTCCTCTTTGTATGTATGGGTAATTCTTGTTTCCCTCATTAGAAAGTTGAGGTTGAATTAATATTTGTGAAAAGCTTTAGGATCCTTGCATATGGAATGTACCATGACAATGCAAACATGATTACTATTCAGAATGAATATGAAATCTTATCTAAATTTCTTGTGAACACCTGCTGAGAACTC